TTTGGATATGATAAAGCATGGAGGAAGTCTTTTGAAAAAGTATTTGTTTCTGAGTTCTTTGACCATTACACTTATATATTGAATTGATAGATCTAATGAAAACTGGTCTTGAAATTCAAGTGACAGGTTCATAGGAGAGTCTGGGAGTGAAATTTTTGGTGGAAGAAAATCGAAATACGATTCTGAAAGTCTTAGAGGAATAACAAATTGCTTTCTGAGTTCTCTTATCAGACTGCTCAGGTTTCTTGATTCACTTTTCTTGGTTATTGGAAATAGAGAAAGGAAGTTGTATGAAAAATTGGAGGGATGTTCTGGTAATAAAGATAGAATTTCGAAATAAGAATCTGAAAGAAAATCAAACTTGTAATAGAGTCGTAATGATCTTGCAATATCTTCTGTTGTGCTTCTATCTGCAATAGGAATTTTGTAAAAAATCTTTGCTTTAATTTTTGGAGGAATGGAGTTTGGATTTGATGGAAGTGGAGAAAGATTGTTTCAAAACATTTCTCTGCAGAGAGGTAGAAGTTTGAGACAATTTAAATCTTCTGTATTTTCTGGATGATAGAAATAATTGCATCCATAGTCTAGGATTTGTGTGAGTTGAAAAGGTGTAAGGTTGAATATATTGATATACCGCAGATATGCAACAAGAAGACAGGCATTTAGAAGTAGCCTGATTTTTTGTTTTTTTATGCAGTTCAGGTAGGTGATCTTGTTTTTGGCCTTATAATTCTTTTGAAAACGTTTTTCTAGTTTCTCGTATTCCTTTTGATGATTGCCCCGAAGATCTTTAGTTTTGAAAAAAGATCTGAAAAATTGTCAGTCTCTTGCTTCTATTTTTATAAAGATAGCAAGGTGAAGCTTTTGTCTAGTGTTGTCTTTGGATATTTTGTGAATGTCAAGAATGAGGTTGATTATTTCTTGTGGTTTGCTTCTTACTGATGATAGTTTGGAGGCCCATTGGACTATTCGGTAGATTAAATAGGCCTTCTAATAGTAAGGAGTTTTGTGGGTCTGTCTCATTGTCGCTATCATTGTCATAGTCAAGAGAATTGTATCTCTCAATATTTGATGACTTTACTGTCAGGTTGTCCTCATACTCATTGAGTCTCGCACTGGCTTGTTCTTCTCTAGTTTTAAGAATAGTCCTTCTGTCAAGTCTAGAATCTTGTTTATTAGAGTTGCGGATATTTAGAGAGTTGATAGAGCTGTGAGCATATGGATTTTGTAAAGTGGAAGATGAGGACCTTATGGAAGAAAGAAAAGACTCGTCTAGGTTTGTGAGTTAAGAATATTTGAGGAGTTGATTGGAATGGATAGAAGATTATTCTTGGTTTCTGAAAAGAGAAGTGTGCTGGAGGAGATTCCCATGTCTAGATCACTAGAAATGGAAAAATCCAAGTCGATTGACATTGATGAGTCATCATTGTTAATTAAATTGGGATGTGCTGGGTTCTGATTGGAGGAAAGTAGTGGAGTGTCTGATTAGGTGTGATGATCAGTTGGTTTTGTTACTTGTAATTGGTTGGATAAAGAATTGAAAGTTGTGATCGGATTATTAAACAAAGAGGTGAATGGAGTTTCTAAATATTCAGCTGGGCTGATTTGATAATTAGCGCTTAGAGAAAATACTCTTTTCTTTCCACTTGTCTTTCTATCAACTTTGATTATATTCCAGGGAACATGCTTGGAATAATTCCAGCCTTTGCTAGAAACCTGATTGAGAATTTCTTCTCTAAGGGCTTCATTGTTTGAGAAGATAGTTTAAAGAGAGTTTTGGTAATTTAAGAAATTCGTCTAGCTGACCACATAGTTTGTCTTTGAGAAAGGAAGATTGAATAAGTAGACTGTTTTGATCTTTGATTGAAAATTTCAACTGTATAATAAAGAGATTTGGTGAGCTTGTATGGGTGACATTTTGAGTGGAAATGAGTCATCTTGAAGGATAATTGGATATAAATGGAGTAATAATGGATATGGAAGGTTCTGTAATGATGATTTTTTTGTTTTAGTTCAAATAAATGACTGCAAATTGATGTTTCTTCCTTTCAATAAAAATGATATCCAGCAAGAGAGGTTCAGCAGTTTGATGTTGTGGCAAAGAAGGTGTAATAGAATAAGAAGTTCTGGTGAGAACTACTTGAGTGTTGTGACTAGATATGTTAGATGATGATTGGTGGGTGTAGAACTATTGAAGATTGTATGCATAATGTGAATTTTGTGTGATGTGACTTGTTGTTTGCTAATATGAATGATTATTAGCACGTGGTGTTAAGTGGTATGTGATAGTGGTTGGTGTGTAATGTAATTGTTGACATGTTTTTGTTTACTTATAATTGATAACTTGTTTTTAAATTGGAAAGTTTTATAGTATGTGGACATGTTATTACCTATTGATATGTAGTTTCTTGTTGACGTATTATTGTTTGTTGACATATCATCACTTGTTGACATGTTGTTACTTGCTGATGTGTTATGGTTGTTTTGATATTTGTTTAGATAGATGATTTTGTGTAACTTGAATTTAGAGAGGGTAAACTGATTTTGATTTTTAAGATTTTGGTATGTAAGATAAAAATTTTTTAACTCTGTACAGTTGATGGGAAGTCTTGACGTCCTTCTAGCTCAAGGAAGGTGGCAAGGTTGTTTGATTTATTGAATAAAATCTGGCTTTTTTTGAGTTACTATAATGTCTAGGGAGGTGTTTAACCTGGCACTCGACTGGCTATAGTAGTAGTAGTGGATGTTGGCTTTCTAATACCTTACTACAAATCAGAAGGTATGTTTTCTTATTCTCCCACTTGAGGGATAAGTTTGTTTGAAGGTCTTCTATTAAAAAGTATGGATATTTGGGGTGTAGAGTAGAAGATGTTAGTTATTTGTTTTTAGTAATTACTTGATATTATTTTCTTGTGTGTTTCTTTGAATAATTATGTGAATAAAGTTTTTGATTTTTTGGTTTTTTTTTAAAAGTTTCCTAAAAAGAAAATTAGACTGAAGTGGGAAAGAGTTTTTTAAATAAATAAAATTTTAATAATAATAAAAATTTTTATATTGAATTATAATTATTAATTAATCTTAATTAATTACTAATAGTAGCTATATATAAAATTTTATTTATTATTAAAACTTACTTTTATGTACTAAGTAAAGTTATTCTTCAATATAAAATTTATATTCTGTAAAATTTTTATTAAATAAAAATAAATATTTAATATTGAATTTTATAATTTTTGTTAAAATTAATTTTTTTTACATTTTATTAAATAAAAATTTAAATACCAAATAAAAATTTATGAAACTTAATATTTAAATACTTTAACATATGCCAAACAAAATTTATTAATATCAAATTGCTTGTTAAAACAGTAGTTATAAATATCATATGGGTATCAAAATTTTAATAAAAAATTAAAAAATTTTTGTTCAGAATAAAATCATTAAGTGTAATAATAAAAATTTGTTTAAATTTAATAAAAATTTAATCATATATAGAAATCATTATAAAGAATAAGTTTACTTAATACATAAAAGTTGTTTTATTAATAAAATAAAAAGCTTAATATATAACAACTATTTCCATTTAGTTATAACAATTCTTAAATGGTCCTTCATTTATTGGGGGGGACTGTATATATAAGTTAAATACATAATTGGTTTATAATCAAAACATCATGTAAAAAATTTAGTTTTCTATATAAATGAATTTTATATAATCAAGTAAATTATTACTAACAAGATTCCATATTTAGTCAAATTTTAATTAAATTCTAATAAATTTCTATTATTTAATTTGACAATTTATTTTTATTAAAAATTTTAAAAATTTCTACCATAATCTATTAAAGTCTGTTTTACGTAATAAAATATAAAAAAAGTTTCTAAGAAATTATTATTATAAATTAATGATAATTTAAAAATTCAATTATTTCTTAATAAAAATTTTATTTGTTGAATAGTTTTTTAAATATCTAATAAAATTTTATAAATATTTAATGCACAGGTAATTCTATCCCAATTAAACAAGATTGATTAATTTTTTATTGTTTGTTAAAACATCAATTTTAAAAATAATAAAGTTAAGGTCAAATATTAAAAAATCTCATAAAATATAATTCATAAACATTTATAATAAAATCTTATTCAAAGTTATCAAAACTTTCACCATATACCGTATATACATGTAATTAATTGCTTAGATTATATTTACTTAATGTATAAAAATAGATAAAATTAATAAAACAAATAGTTTAATATGTAATTGCGTTTAATAAATTCCGAAAACCCTCACTCGGATTTTCTTTGACCGAGTAAACCGGAGCCCAGAAAATTTTGATGATCGTAACTAAAGTACTTTTAATTGATACTTCGATCATCAACAAATACAGTATAGACTATTTGTACATAATTTCTTTATGAGAATTGACCATACGTACGGAGAACATTCTCCATGTTATTTAAAATTAAATAAACTCATCATATGTTAACGATCATAGCTCAATTAATTAAATAAAAAATGAACTCTTCCGCAATTCATAACAAGTGGGTTGAAGATGCCATTCGTAGTAGATATGTGACAGAGTTTGATCACTATTCGTTTAGAGAAATAGAAATTATTTTAACAACGCCGTTAACGGATATTAAGAAGGCTTATCAAATAGGATTTGATAGAAATGTTGTCCTTAAATATTTAAGGGAAGAACAATATAAAGTCGAAGACGTGTATCATAAAAATTTCTTGAGAGAGGTATCATATTGTTTTCTTACCATTAAGGCATTTTAAATCGGCAAAATTCATACTTGACTATAAATAGGTTCGGAATTTGGCAAGGTTAAATGAATTTAATAACGAAAATATAGTTAAGTTTTTAGGAATTAGCAAAGGTATAAAATATTTTATTAATAGAGACCTAATTACTCGAGGTCTTATTTTTGAAAAAGCTAGCTTATTCAAATTGTTTACATATTGTTATTAGATCCATCTCTAAACTTCTATTATATGGTGTTTCAAAGTACGTACGATCAAGATATTAGGACCTATTTGCAAAAAAAATTCGTCGAACTAAGTTGGCCCCAAAAAATAAAAATGGCGAAAGATATTACTAATGGCATTTGTTACATTCACCGTGCAAATATTGTCCATTGTAATTTAGTAAGTTTATGTTAAAGTTAAAGTCAAAATTTTATTTGATATTAACATATAGTTCATCAAATTTAATAGAATCATAAAAATATTCTTGTTCATGATGGAAAATTAGTAATCACGGGGTTTGAATTTTCAATATCTCTTGATAAACCAAACGAATATTTTGAAACCCTCGAATACTCGGATCCAGAATTAATAGTTTATGTAGATCCAAAATTTCTTAAGACAAATAGTAAAAAAGATAAACCATCGGATGCATATAGTCTCGGGATTTTATTATGGGAAATATCAAGTGGTACTGCTCCTTTTAGTGGTAAAAATAAGTTAGGTAATGAGATTTTGGAATATGAACTCATATCAGGAACTAAGGAAACTCCCATTGATGGAACACCGGTAGATTACAAGGAACTTTATTGTCAGTTGTGGAATGACATTCCCGAAAAACGACCATTGGTTGAAGAGGTTAACAGTGGTCTTGAAAGTATTAACTTCAGGCATGTATATCAAAATTCCAATCAAATTCCGAAAATTTATTCTGGAGATAATTTATTTCCAGCGGCAGAAGACGAGGCTTTTGTAATTATTATACAGGGTTTGCCGCAAGATCAATGTTTTTTTCTTGGTCAATTTGAAACGTTAATTGGAAGGGACTCTCTAAATCATATTATTATCAAGGATCAAGATGTTTCTAAGAAACATGCTAAAATTACTAATGACCGCGGAAGAGCTACAATAATTGATTCTGCCTCATCATCTGGAACTTTTGTTAATGGTTACAAACTTATATCTTATGAAGTCTATACTTTAGAAAAAAAGGATTTAATCCAAATTGGAAGCTGCATTCTCCAATATTTTCCGGCAGGAGAATACGAAAATCGTCTAGACTCTAAGCTACGGATTTATAATGCGAGTTATTTAAAGAATATCATGGAAGAAGAATTTAAAAATATCGATGAAAACAGACCTAGATTAAGTTTAATATTTTTTGATATAGATTATTTCAAAAAGATTAATGACGAAAATGGTCACGAAGCAGGGGATTATGTTTTAAATGAGTTGGCAAACTTGGTTAGAACCCGGAATATTCGTCCAGAAGATATTTTTGCGCGATATGGTGGAGACGAATTTAATATTCTTCTTAGAAATACTACCGCTGAATCAGCTTATGAAATTGCAGAAGCAATTCGAACCTCAGTCAAAGCACACCCATTTATTTATAAAGAAAAGAAATTAACAGTTACACTTAGTATGGGAGTTGCCGAAGTGAATTCATTCATTAATTCTTTTGATGAATTACGTAAAATTTCGGATGAAGCTCTATATGAGGCTAAAAGACAAGGTCGTGATCAAGTATTTATATGGAAAAAGAAAACAAGTCCAACAGGTATTTAAAGTAACTAACTACTTCTTCGAAATAATATATTTAATGGTCTTTTTATTTATCAAACAATTATGTTTAAAATTAAAAATTTCATATTGTAGATTGTAAAAACATTCAAATATATGAACTTATTCAGGATTTGAGTGTGACTGATAACTTATGTGGCCTTAAAAATTTAATCGAAAACTACAAAGTGAAGATCTCGTCAGAAGCATTAGTCATGACTTTAGAGAAATTATCTGATACATCACCATTTAAAAATTTTTGTGACGAAAACACGAGCTCTCATTTAGAATTACATCTTAGGACTTACGTCGCGACGTTAGAGAGGATTTATTATGCTAATATTTATCTTAGAACAGAGCTTTTGGATAAATTGCACCACGGCTTAGTAAAATTTGCGGAAATCCATTATGATTCATTAAAACCTATACAAAAAATAATCTCATCCAATAGTACTTCCGGTAGTCATCACACATCGTTATACAATTATAACATTAATTTCCTTCTTGTTCATCTGAAAGATACTCTGTATAATATGAAAAACGAAACGTTTCCTTCTTCAAAATTTATTAGATTAGTGCTACAATTTCTATCAAAATTTCTACCTAGAATTGTGGCACCAATTTTGGATGAAGAAAAGCCTTTTTTCACTTGCTCTATTTCAAATTGGTATCTTACTTGGCGTGAGTTATTGACAGTCAATAATGTTTTATTAAAATTAGATGAAGATGAAAATTATCAATTATTGGATGAGAACGGAGAAATAATGCTTTTGGAAATTATTTGGCAGCATGTGTTTGACGAATATTCTAAATTTTCACATATTGATTGTGAAATAATGCATGATGAATTAAAATTTATTGACATTATTCGTGACTATAAGTCAACATATTTACCTTATTTATTATTATTCGGAGTTCTTGATTTGGTGCAAAGTATAATCAACAAAACTTCGCGGAAAATTTCTTTGGCCTTATGCTATTATATATGTATGGATACTTTGGAAAAGTTCAACAATAATTTCATAAGATGCAAGACTCTGGAGTTGTTATTTATATTGGCGTATAAAAATGAAAGCCAATTTAATGAGATAATTGAAGTCGAAATGGAACTTTATAAAGAACAGGAGTATATTCAAAATATAAGTATCGATATTTTAATTAATAAAATCAAGCAGAAAATTGAAGTTGATAACTATATTTACAAGGCATCTGTCAAATCAAATAAGTCTAAAAAGGGAAAGGAAAAGATGATACCTGCTCAGAATATTCAAAAAGCAGATTCTAAAATATTGAATATTATAGCTGAAAAGTTAACTTGTCCAATAATGAAAGAAATAACAGGGGATTTTTGTGTGTTGGGATGCGGGCATTCAATCAGTAAATTTGCCGTTAATGAATGGAAATCAATGTTGACAATTGAAGACAGGAAATTTGAATGTCCAATGTGTCGGACTCTAATAAAACAAGAATCTATATTAAATCTTCCTCAGAATGCTACTATTAAAGGTCTTTACAAGCGACTGAAGGAAGAGGGGTATCTTGGTACATCCTATGAATTAAACCACGTGCCATCAAATTCCGTGCATGAATTTAAAGACGAGACTTTTCTAAAATTGAATAAGTTACACTCATTCCGAATGTCAGGATTTAATACTTATATAATATATTTTATTAGCAGAATATTACCAGAGACCTATGATTCTGCATACCGCAAAGCGGTTGAGGCAGAAGAACAAGAAAACCATTTGGAAGCAATTATGTGGTATACTCGTGCATTAGAAAACTATCAAAATAGTTATTCTATTAGATGTAAAAGAGCAAATAATTCAGAGAAGCTTAATTTATATTCAAAGGCACTTGAAGATTACTCAAATGCAATAAAGCTAAAACCTGATGAGTTATTAGCTTACATGAAGCGAGGTCAAATTTATCATAATTTTGGAAGATTTCAGAATGCGCTAGAAGATATCAAAAATGCATTAACTATTGAACCTCAAAATATCTTGGCTTTATTATTATGTGCAAGCATTTGCTTTTCACTTGAAAAATATGAAGAGTCGTTAAACTACTATAGACAAGCTAATAAAATCCAACCAAATAATGAGGACACATTATTAGGGTTAGGAAAAGCTCACTATGAACTAAAATTTCCCGAATTATCATCTAATTACTGGAAAAAATTGATATCAATAAATCCAAAGAAAGTAGAGTCGTTATTAGATTATAATAAATTGAGTAAATTAAACACTAGCAATTTTGAAATAGGTGATGTGGCGGGAAAAGCCCTGGCCAAGGCACTAAGCAATAATACCACCCTGATAGAATTAGATTTAAGTTATAATTATATGAGCGAATCAACAGTAATAGCAATGGCCGAGGCATTAAGCAAGAATATCGCCCTAACGAAGTTGAATCTAAGTAATAATAGAATAAGAGAATCAACAGGAAAAGCAATGGCCGAGGCATTAAGTAAGAATACCAGCCTGACGGAATTGAACTTAAGCAGCAATGAAGTAGGAGAATTAGCAGGAAAAGCACTGGCTGAGACACTGAATAAAAATTACACCTTAAAGAAATTGGATTTGAGTAGTAATAAAATAGGAGAGATGGCAGGAAAAGCACTAGCCGAGGCATTAAGCAAGAATTACACCTTAATAAAATTGAATTTAAGTAATAATGAAATAGGAGAATTGACGGGAAATGCACTAGCCGAGGCACTAAGCAAGAATATCACCCTAACAAATTTAAATTTAGACAACAATTGGATAGGAAAATCGGCAGGTAAAGCACTGGCTAATACCCTAAGCAAGAATATCACCCTAACGGAATTGAATTTAAGCAGTAATGGAATAGGTGAGTCAGCAGGAATAGCACTAGCTGAGACACTATGCAAAAATAACACCCTGGTCAATTTAAACTTGTGCAATAATTGGATAGGTGAAACGGCAGGAAAAGCGCTGGCCGAGGCCCTAAGCAAGAATATCACACTAACGGAATTGGACTTAAGCAGTAATGAAATAGGAGAGTCAGCAGGAAAAGCACTGGCCAAGACACTATGCAATAATAACACCCTAGCGGAATTAAATTTAAGCAATAATTGGATAGGAGAAACGGCAGGAAAAGCACTGGCCGAGGCACTGAGCAAAAACTCCACCTTAAAGAAATTGAATTTGAGTAGTAATAAAATAGGAGAAACGGCAGGAAAAGCCCTGACCGAGGCATTAAGCAAAAATTACACCTTAATAAAATTGAATTTAAGTAATAGTATAATAGGATAATTGACAGGAAAGGCACTAGCCGAGACACTAGACAAAAATATTACCCTAACGGAATTGAGAAAAGCACTGACCGAGACACTAGGAAAGAATAATACCCTGACCAATTTAAACTTTGCAATAATTAGATAGTAGAAGCGGCAGGAACAGCGCTGGCCGAGGCATTAAG